TGCCGCGTGTCTCTTGCAGCAGCCCCTGGTGAGGCTGAAGGGAGGAGCCGGCACGGGGGAAGGCCGCGTGGAGGTGCTGAGGAACGGCGAGTGGGGCACGGTGTGCGACGACAACTGGAACCTGGTGTCGGCCAGCGTGGTGTGCCGGGAGCTGGGCTTCGGCAGCGCCAAGGAGGCCATCGCGGGAGCCAGGCTGGGCCAAGGTGAGCTCCAGCACAGCCCCTGCTGCCAGGAGAATCCCTCCACAAACACCAGGCTCCATCCCCAAACACCTGAGCGTTAAGCCCAAAAAGCAGACAGCACTCCCAGAACTTTATTGGAATAAAGGGAGAGGCCATGGAGTCTCTCAAATTTTTGGAGGATGCAGCCTCCTTTTAACCCTAATTTCTCGTTCCCCACTGGCTGAGGTACTTGAGAGGTTCAGATTTCCCAAATCACCTAATACAGACCCCATTCTAATGAATACCCCCACATTTGTCTTTTCCTTGTGTCAATCACTGGAATTCCTATGGAATTTATGGTTCCTCTCATTGTTTCTTTCATCTCTCAGCATCCACTTTTATTTTCAGCAGACCCACAGCTTGTAAATACAAATCCCTCATTCCTTTTACTGGTGCCCTGAATTAAGGAACGTTCCACCCCCGTGATTCAGGGCACAGGAGATTTTTGTTGGGATGTTCAATTTGAGGACCAGGAGTTTCTTCCCTAACCTTAATAAATTCTCTTGGGGCCAGGCTGGAATTCTGTGACTTAAAAAGATCCCCTGAAAAAAAGCCTGGGGATGATGAGTTTGACCTTTTGCTCAGGCAGCTGTTCCTGAGCAAAAGGTCAAACTCAGCATCCCAGTAATTAATTCTTAACAACTCATCATTGTTCCAGTAATTAATTCTTAATTATCTCATTTGCTGCTCTGAAATTCCTTTTGAGTTCTCCAGAACCACACCATGATGTAATGCATTACTAGAAAGTTCCTGGCAAAAAATAAGTCCTGGAGTCAGACTTCAAACGCTCCAATTTCAGACCAGGACAGTAATTTAGCTCATTATAAATAGAAGGGCATTTGAACAGCTCAGAGCCAGGTTTGGGTTTGGATTTCCTGTCTTTGGGAGTTGGTTTAAATCCCAAAAAGTGGTCAAAGGTGAACTGAAACCACCTGGTGATTCCCACACCCTATTCCCGGGATAATCCAAAAAAAAACCAAAAAAAAACCAGCAAACCCTTGTTGTGAGAATTAAAAAAATTAAAAATTAAAAAAAATTAAACCAAACCAAAAAAAAACCAAAAAAAAACCAGCAAACCCTTGTTG